GATTATAAATCCATTCGTAAGACAGGTAACCACTTTATGGCGAACTTGTCTGGCTGCAGATTTCCGCAAATTTACTCTTTAGCTGTCAATCAAAGATCAACCGGGCTACAATGATGTCGCGCATTGTCCTTCAGATGTAGAAAAAAGGACAGATTTCATTGCACACGATATCTATAAAGAGAGGGAGAGAGAGGGGGGAGAGAATGTAAGAGAGAGAGAAAGAGAGTGAGAAAAGGAGAGAAATAGATAGAGACAGAGATAGAGAGAGAGAGAAAGAGATAGAGAAAAAGATAGAGAGATAGAAAGAGACAGAGAGAAAAAGAGAGATAGAGAGAGAAAGAATAAGAGACAAAGAGAGAGATAGAAAGAGAGATAGAAAGAGAGAGAGAGAAAAAGAGAGAGAATAAGAGAGAAATAGAAAGAAATAGAGAGAAAAGAGAGAGAGAGAAAGAGACAGAGAGAAAGCGAGAGAGTTAGAAAGAGAAAGAGAGACAAGAGAGAAAGAGACAGAGATAAAGAGGGAAAGAAAGAGATAGAAAGAGGGAGAAAGAGAGAGAATAAGAGAGAAATAGAAAGAAAGAGAGAGAAAAGAGAGAGAGAAAGAGACAGAGAGAAAGCGAGAGAGTTGGAAAGAGAAAGAGAGAAAAAGAGAGAAAGAGACAGAGATAAAGAGGGAAAGAAAAAGAGAGAAAGAGAGAGATAGAAAGAGAGAGAATAGGAGAGAAATAGAAAGAGAGGGATAGAAAAAGAGAGAAAAAAGAGAGAGAATAGGATAGAAAGAGAGAGAGAGAGAGAAAGAGAGAGAAGAGTGTAAGTGTGTGAGAGAGGCGTAACTGTTTTCAATTCTTTTTGCTTTCTTCGAACACTGATAATCTTTTCTTCATTTCTCTTTCTTATTCCACGTCATACATTCATACAATGTGAATTTTCGACATTTTATTTCTGTCCTTGTTCGTCTCTTACCGCTTCGCTGTTAGCCATTGTGCAAGAAGATACTAGAAATTAGCTAGATAAATAAGCAACGGGAGACGAAACGAAGCAGTCTGTTAACACACACACACACACACACACACACACACACACACACACACACACACACACACACACACACACAGAGATAACCTTTACATAAAATGCAATACTTCCTTTCAAAATGAGTTAAATAATAGGATAGACTGGGCTCTTTAGCCTTGATATGTAACCAGTCTAGGAGAACAAAATCTCTGAATTCCAAACCGTACGGAAAATTACTACGCACTCTTTCGCAAATTGTAAAGATAAGGAACATGTGGAGAGCCATGATTGTCTAATTATTTATATGGTTGCATAAACATATATCACATATTACACAAAGTACTCTATATATATACCTATACATATATGGGCACCTCGAGGTGGTGTAATGGCTAGCAAGCTTGTTTCGCTAGAACAATTACGATTGAGTAGTGAATTCGATCCTCACTGGGTACCCCCTGCTTTCGGCCTTGTGCCACATCTAAGCTACGCTTAGAAAATCACTATATTAGGGACCTTCGAGGCGGTGTAATGGTTAGCAAGCTTGACAATTACAACTGAGTAGTGAGTTCGATCCTCACTAGGTGCCCCATACTTTCGGCCTTGTGCCACATCTAAGCTACGCTTGGAAAATCACTATACGGGCACCTCGACCTGGTGTAATGATTAGGAAGCTTGTCTTGCTAGATCAATTACGACTGAGTAGTGAGTTTGATCCTCACTGAGTACCCCATACTTTCGGCCTTGTGCCACATCTAAATTTTTACTTAGAAAATCGCTATGGGGCACCTCGGCGTGGTGTAATGGTTAGCAAGCTTGGCTTGCTAGATCAGTTACTACTGAAAAGTGAGTTCGATTCTCACTGGATGCCACATACTTTCGGCCTTGTGCCACATCTAAGCTACGCTTGGAACATTTCTATATACCTATACATATATGCACATAGGCATTTCGACTTTATGTAATGGTTAACAAGCGTGTCTCATTAGATGTATTACGATTGTGTAATGAAAGGAGAGCTCATTGGGTGCTACTTACTTCCGGCCATGTATGTATATAGCGATTTTCTAAGCTACGCTTAGAAAATCGCTATATACATACATTAAAAATATCTATACAATAACATCCACTGATATGCGTAAAAATTTTCGTCTCCCTTTAGGATGTCGACGATCATGGCTCTCCACAGTTTCCTGTCCTTTGTCTTTCTGTTATGTCACCTAAACCCTGTTCGGTTAACCATTTACACAAGCTCATTAGGAAGGTGATGCGCTGTTTTCCTCATTCCATCCTTTTCTCTAATTTGTCCTGTGAGTATCAGATTTTCGAAGCCCTCCTTCCTCACTAGGTGCTCCAGAAATTTCAACTGTTTCTTCCTGATGTTAACTAGTATGTTTCCTTTTTTATTTTCTATAAAATTCGATGTTGCTTACATTCAGTCTATGGTATCCTCATCATCCTTCTGTAGAGCCACATTTCTGTTGATCCAAGTCTTTTCTTCATCTGTGATGAGATGTTCGAGTATACACTGCCATATAGGGAGATTGATATTACATAACAATTCAACGTTCTTTTCTTTGCTTGTAACGAAATTTTCGTGTTTCGTAATACTATACTTAGTTTTTAGAAGGTAACTTTCCTTATCAAATGCACCATTCGGTCTTCTGTTAAATCACTTCCCAGATATTTAAATATTTGTACTAGTTTGATTTTGGTATTTCCAGTTTGTAATTCACATGTTTGGCTGTTCCATTTGCTAACAACCATATATTCAAAAGGTTTAGATAATTAAAGGAATGTCAAAGTGAACACAATCTTGTCAATAATGTCCCCAATAGATAACCAGGTTAATAATAACTATTAACAAATATATATATATACATATATATGTATATATATTACATGAATCATTCATACAAAAGACAGATTAGTGAAGTTAATGATATAAATGGCGAGAATACATCTTTGCAAACAAATTTATTAAAATTATATTAACCCACGAACCTCTAGATGAATGTTGTGATCACTGTTTTTAATAAATTCAACTTGAATAAATTCTTTTTTTTCTAGTACTTTCATCTGTTCATACAGACATCATCAGGCATGGAAATTGATTTGTTTTTTGTTTTTTTTTAAGTACATCCAGGTAATACCGGGACACGAAAGATTAGATGTGAATCGAAATATGTTTTTTACAAATGTGTTATTGTTAACTGTAAGAAATTTTGGGGCGTGCAGTCGCAACGCTAAGGTTGAATTTTTTGAAAATTTAAAAGAGAGTGGTTTTTTTTTACTAATATGGTAATTGGAGAATTCTTTCGTTTTAATAGGTTTTTTTCAGTCGATGTGGCATGAACTAAACTGTTCAATAAATGGAGCAATGCCGCAGCTATTATGCCGAAAGTTGCACATCGGATCAGTTCAATTTATATTACATGAATCATTCATAGAAAAAGATGAGGATAATTATATATATATATATATATATATATATATATGACGTTTAAAAAACGCACTATCCAGACGGGCTTAATCACAAATTTAACAATATAGATAGTATTAATATATAACCCCACAAATCAAAACACATCCACATTTCTCACCCACACAAGACAGACATGCTTACGGAGATGTTTAGGCCTCACACTTATACACACACCCACACGAATATACACACTTACACACATCATACTCACTCACTCCCTAAGAACCAAATAACACACACACACTTAACAGAGACACATCCCCATTTCCAGGAACCAATAAAACTGTCAAAATAACCAAAGGAATTCAGAGCAACATGAATCCATCCAGCTCTTATCTTAAATAACAACTTAAAAGAGACTGTTTGAACAACACAAAGACTGGCCAAAATTCATGTTAAAAAAAAATAAAAAATAAAAAAACCAATGAAAACTACAGACAAAAGTTCATTTTCCCCATCAAGACATTCATTTCTGTAGTTCACTTCTACCAGCAAGCAGAATTTGTTTTTTCTCCTGATCATGGCCATGTTGGCCGAAACGAGTCGAGGAATCTAAATTAAATAATAATAAAAACGAAAGAATATTAATATACAAGCCAGTGTGTCTGAAGATTTTAATTTTTTAATATTTTTATTGTTCTATATATATATATATATATATATATATATATATATATATATATAATAAAGATAGAGCATTAATAGGATTAATATGAGTAAGAGATTGTCACCTAGCTAATTGATACTACCCTAAGCATCCTGACTCAAAGAGTTTCGTAGGTGGACCTGTCCATCCACTCTTCACTTAGATTTCATTAATGATACTCAGTGAAGAGTGGACGGACAGGTTCACCTACGAAACTTTGGAGTTGGGATGCTGAGATAATTATATATATATATATATATATATATATATATATATATAGAAAGCGCGAGTTTGTAAACAATGACTACTACTGCTAATACGGCAAAGCTCTTCTATAAATTGAGCCCTCTCATTCATTGGCGTGTTTATTCGAAGAATAAGTGTGTAAAAACCCGCCCCCCTCTCTACCGGGCGCTGATAGCTCAGAGGTAAAATCTCCGACTGATGCGAACTCAGTCGATCGCGGTTTGAGGCAATCGGATGTATAGCCAGATTGATGAGCTGTGATACAGCGAAACAGTCTGTCTGTGGATGACTATATATATATATATATATATATATATATATATATATATATATATATATATTGTGAGGATACCCATGTTTAAGTAGACGTTCTATTTTTTAAACAGTGGGAATTATATCTACCGACCTCAGTATTCGAGAAATTGTGCTCTTCGACAGGATTCGAGCTTGCGTTTTCCCCTATAAAGAATGCACAGCCATCCGTTCAAATACTGTAAAAAAAAGTCAAAAACATATATACAATATGGATACTTAGGTGCACATCACACATATATTGAGGTTGATTTATATTTATGTATATAAATTTACTGCATATTCTTTAAATATTTGATGCTTCGGTGGTCACAATAAATTGGATTCGCTTGCGCGCAAATCTTACGATACTGTCATTTGAAGATAAAAACAAACAAACATAAAACACGCTATAAATGCTAAAAACATTTCTGGCGAAAAAAAAAGCGGTTTTTATTCACAGTTGGTTTCCACCAATCAAAAATTGACATTAAATCGAAGCTGATTGGATGTTAAGTCGATTTGAAATCTTTATATGCCACCATTTGTACATGATTTTTTTCTTTCTATTTTCCGTTTCACTTTCGATTTTTCTTTCATTTTCTTCTCATTCATTTTTTCCATTTTTGTCTCCAGCTTTGAAACTGCACACTTTCTACCTTTTTCTTTTTGTTTTTTTCTCCTTTTTTTCTTTGTTTCCATCCTTCCTTCCTTAATTCTTTCCTCCTTCCTTCATTCATTCCTCCCTTCCTTAATTCCTCTTTCCTTCCTTAATTTTTCTTTCTTCCTTTCCTTTACTCCCTTAATTCCTCCTTCCTTCCTGCATTTATTTTTTCCACTCTTTCTTCCTTCCTTTTTCTTTCATTTTTTCCTTCCTTCCTTCTCTTTTCCTTCCTTCCTTCCTTCCTTCCTTCCTTCCTTCCTTCCTTCCTTCCTTCCTTCTCTTTTCCTTCCTTCCTTCCTTCCTTCTCTTTTCCATCCTTCCTTCCGACTTTCCTTCTTTCCGTTTTCTTTCCTTCCTTCCTTTTTCTTTCGTTTTCCTTCCTTCTTTTTCCTTCCTTTCAACTTTCCTTCCTTACGTTTTCTTTCATGTTTTCTTTCCTTCCTTCCTTTTTCTTTCGTTTTCCTTCCTTCCTTCTCTTTTCCTTCCTTCCGTTTTCTTTCATGTTTTCTTTCCTTCCTTCCTTTTTCTTTCGTTTTCTTTCTTTCCTTCCTTCCTTCTTTTTCCTTCCTTCCTTCTCTTTTCCTTCCTTCTGACTTTCCTTCCTTCTGTTTTCTTTCATGTTTTCTTTCCTTCCTTTCTTTTTCTTTCCTTTTCCTTCCTTCGTTTTTCTTTCCTTTTCCTTCCTTCCTTCTCTTTTCCTTCTTTCCGACTTTCCTTCCTTCCGTTTTCTTTTATTGTTTTATTTCTTCCTTCCTTTTTCTTTCATTTTCCTTCCTTCCTTCCTTTTTCTTTCTTCCTTTCATTCCTCCCTGCATCATTTTATACTTCCTTTCTTTTCCTTTGATATTTTCCTTTCTTCTCTTTTCCTTCGTTTGTTCTTTTCTTCCTTCCTCTTTTTTCTGAGAAGCACATTTTCCCCTCTTTCTCTCTATTATTCTTTATTCCCAATTTCATCTTGTTACTTTTCTTGTTTTTCCTTTCTCTTTTCAAACCGTTGCTTTTCCTTCATTTCTTTTCATATTTTCATCTAATCTTCTTTCTTTCCCTTTTTCTCTTTTAATTCATTCTCACTTTTTGTCTTCCTTAATTGCTTACTTTTTCTTAAATTATTTCTTCTAAACATTTTTCTAACTTTGTTATTTCTACGTTTAAATCTCGCCCTCCCTCTAAATATTTTCTTTTCTCTTTTTTTCTTTATATACTTTTATTTAAAACTATATTTATCCATATTCTGTACTCCTCATCCTCGCCGTTTTCAACTTTCTCACTTTTGCATTTTGCTTCTTTTCATAATCCAATTTTTCTTTTCCAATTTTTCTTTTCAAATTTCTTTCATATTTCATTATTTCGTTACTCTACATTAAGTATCGTCTGCTTTTTTCAGTTTTATTTATTGACGTTTTTTGTATGTGCTTTTTCTTCTTTTCGCTCTCGTCTTTCTTTCTTTCTTTTTTTGTTCCTACGAAATTATTCACTTTCTTTGTGTGAGAAAAATGTAACTCGTGAAGATTCCGATTTTTTTAAATATGTTTTGCTATGACGTCGCAATCTGTTTGACGATGAGATTTTAAACATCCAGTCGATTTTTTACGTGATTCTTTATGTCGAACAGAGAAAATGACTCACTCACGAGACATATGCCAGTTAGCTATCTCTGTGGCTAGAATTGTGGGAAATATTTTCAGATATAAATGAGTGAAGAATGCAAAATTAATCGAGGCCTTTAGTAGTGGAATTGGCAGCTTCAATTTCAACAAAGACATCGAAATATAATGTATAGATGTCTTGCCTAGTTTAAATAGGCTGGCATCTCGCTCTCACCCTTTCACTGTCGAAACTGTTAAATGTAGCCGTCTCTTCTACTCCAATAGATTTATGTCTCGCACCTCTCGCCTGCGGAACTCCCTTCCATTTTTTTATTCCTTGATGGCTATAATCTCCAACTATGTAATGTCAATCGACGTCTCCAGATGCCTTGATCTATCACCTATCCTTCTCTTCATCCTTTTCTCTATCACTCCTATTTGTTCTCGCTCCAACTCTCTGTAAATCCTCGCGTGCTAGTGGCTTCCCGCCTTGCTTGGGGAAACGCTTTAAAATATATATATATATATATATATATATATATATATATATATATATATATATATATATATTCGGCCACTTTCACTAATACGTATTTTGTGGGTTTGTCTTTTTTTTTTTTAATCATTTCACCCCATGCAAGAGAGAGTAAAGATGCTAAGACATAAGGGTTACTGAGTGTGAAAGAATAAGAGAAAAGAGAAACATTAAGGAGAGAAATAAATAAAAGAGTAATTAAAGAAGACCAAACGCCGGAAGACGTTGCTAGCGAGAGCTTGAGCGAGAAGAAGAGAAACGAAGGTTTGCCGCCGGGGAGAAGCGTGCTCGACATCAAGAGAGCATCTTCACGTGCATTCAATGCCATCGAGACTCTCATTCCAGTGTGGACTTGTACAGCCATAAAAATACCACACCATCATCAACAGCCGAAGAATATCTCTTGGTGCGCTGATATAAAGTTTCTACAGACCGATGGATGCTACAGACAAAGACAGCAGATAGCGACTGACATTGCATTTAAATTTGTGAGATCAAAATAGAGTGGAAAGCAAGAAATCGGAAGAAAGTTTAACAGATGAGAAGTGTTAGAAAGAAACTGTTAACACGGAATTTGCGGTTACATCGAACCATTTCGAATGTAAATTGATAAGACCTTCCCGCCAATCTAGAACGGCCCTTAACCCTAGAACACTAACCATGGGTATATAGTACCCAGCGCAAATTTTCCTATTTTTAATTACAATTTTCAGTACCTGATTTTCTTACCTAAATAATGCTTTTTCAGTTCCTATTAATGTTAACTCAAAGTACAAAGTTTGAAGTGCCTGCATGTAAAATATTTCAAATAAAGATTTATATTTAATATTTTTTTTGATATTTCAAAATCGGGTATGATATACCCATCGTTAGTAGTGGTGTAACTTTAATTGATGGTTAGTGTTCTAGGGTGAAATTTCTTAAAATCTTGGTACCATAGCGAAGAATTCATCCGCGCAATTGCCATAAAATTATTTATAGAAAAGACACAGGAAAGTTACACTACGGCGGCGAAAAAGTGACTGAAGACGAGCTGCCAGGTCTGGACTAATAATATTGCCGATTCTTTTTTGATTTTCATCAAGAATCTCTAAATATATAGCAGCAGTACCGGGCCATATATGACAGCAATATTCAAAGGAAAGGTGTAGCTCTACTCACCAAACTTGCTCAATTGCGGGGTGGTAAAATTTCTAAACCGATTAAATTTTATTTTTGGTAGAATCCGTTAAAATATATGCGTCATAACACGATGGTCTCTGTATAAATTTATTTTTTGTTTTTTCAGTAAATAAGTTAGATAATAAGTTATTTTTTTTTTTGACTCACACAAAGAAGATTCAAGGTAGCAGATTTTTATCGAAGCGATAAGTGAAATAAAAAAATAATTTCCTGGATGACCCCAGCTTGAATAATAAGCAAGGTAAAATATTTGTACGCGAGCACGCCTGGTCATGGTCCAAATTTCGTTTCTTGAAACACGAACCAGATTAATAATTCTTTGCCAAGCAGTAGAGTAAGTTTTACGTGTTCCTGTTATACAGTTGGCGAAAATTGAGAGGATGTATCTGGAGCAGGGAATTAACATAAATTTTGTGTGAAGATTTTTAAAAGCGCTTATAAAACGTTAGTCCTATTAAAAAAAGGTTTAGGGTGGGGTCATTCAGTGATGAAATCAAGCAATAATAACGTGCAAGAAAGTGTTTGTTTGAGGATGCATGAAGTAGGCATCTTTTTGGTGAAAAAGACCTGAACTTTGACCTGAAAAGAGAATTCTTTACCATAATAATGCTCCAGCACATGATGTGTTAGGATTTTGCAATTTCTTGACTATGCAATTCATCGCGAAAAAAATGCACCTTATTCAAAGTTAACCACATCGAAGAAGGCAAATTTTCCATTTCATATTTATCTGCGTTTCTAAACGAAATAATTTTAAGACTATTTTTAACATGTTCTTTGTTTTTGAATATTCCGTCATTTGTGAAAAGCTCTTATGATTGAAACAAATAAAAATATGTAGGTGATACATTTGTTAAGGATGAAGGATGTAAACGTATCTTCCATCCAAATGATCGTTTTTTTTTCTTAGATTTGTTTGGCAGTGTATGCCTTTCATTGACATAATGGAGAATACTAGCTTTTCTACTCTCAAAAACAGAACACTCTCGACAGAATACTCAGATTAACCAATCAAATTGCAGGGCATAAATCTATGCGGTGATGGTCGTCTCTTGGTTCAGTAGCTTGTATTGGACGGGATCTTTCATATCCCACCAAAAAGAAAATAAGGACTTCTATGGAAGGAATTCTGGCTTGCCACTGGTTTCACATTTTGTGATAACCACAGTTTCGTTTTCTGTTGATACGCGAAACCCATTTGTCATCACCTGTAGCCAGACAAGGCAAAAATAAAAAGTGCTTGGGTTTCAAACAAAAGCTCACGAGTAACAGAAATTCTCTTTTTTCAAGTTTTTTTCTTAATCGGCTTTTTAGAGCCAAATCACTGTTCCTTTGACTTGGATCTAATTCAATAGTCTTTTTCAAAAGTTCTTCATTTCGAGTGGGTCATTTTTCCAGAGCGGGACTTGTCCGGTGTGTAACAATCACGAATTTAAAACCATTAATACCACAACTGACATGAATGAGTCTTCATAGCATCTGTATAAAATGCAAAAGTGTTTTACATGCTTTCGTAGCAGCCGGTCCATTTTAGAACTCATACAGTAAGTAATGACTTCAGTATCTGTCTATATTTCTGAGATGAGGTATTATGTACACTATTTACATTATTCGGACTATTGTCCTCATCTTTATCGCCATATTTATTACATATACGTTGTACGCTCCGGCCTTCTTCCGGTGGTTGGAATGTCGAACTGAACCCTTTATTTCGCTCACTGGGGTAGACTGTTCTACTTTTACGTGACATGTTTAATTCCAAGTTCTCCACTGCCTTAACCGGGTATTGAACTCACGCTCTGTGGGTCCTGTCACTAGATCTAACCAATGCCATTATATAATATTTTCATAATGTTTTCAGATACATAATATTTGGTGTAAATATAAAATAATATTTGGTGCAAATTAAACATTGATCTTTTGGCGAACAGTTTCGGATTGTATTTTATTTTTTGAAGAATAAAGTTAAGAAATGATAAACCCGCCATTATTTATAATTCAACCGAATAGAAAGTCTATTATCCAGAAATCTACATTACGCATTTTTATACACAACAACAAATTGTAAAAAATTTAAGTTAGAAAATTCATCACACATCTGTAGAGACACTATTTACATTATTCGGATTATTGTCCTCATCATTGTTGCCATATTTATCACAACGTTTCGGCCATTGTACGCCCCGACCTTCTTAAGGTGATTGGAATGTCGAACTGAACACTTTATTTCACTCACTGAGGTAGACTGTTCTAGTTTCACGTGACATGTTTAATAGATGTCAGTTATCAGTCATCTCCTGTTAGTTTCACTCTTCACGTTCTCCGCCGCCTTAACCAGGTATTGAACTCACACTCTTTGGGTCCTGTCACTGGATCTAACCAACGCCTTTATCCACTGTGCCATGTTTCCTTGAGGAATAATGTAAATAGTGAAGTAATGACTTAAAATTACAATCCTCAGAAGGGTTAAACTCTGAAATGCATTATAAATGTCACAGTGTTGGATAGAAGATATTTTATACTTATTCCAGACATAGTATTCTGTGTTGGTTGGCTGGCTTATTGTCATGGGTCCTTAACTATAACTACAGAATGAACCC